ACAATTTAAACAGTAAAAGAAATAATATAAGTAAAAAAAAAAAAAAAAAAACCCAAACCAATCCCATCTAGTTTGAGGGCGGAGGCTTCTTTTTGTCAGTAGACTCGGTACATTGCTCTCCTTTCCTTTCTAATCGCTTGCAGCCGACGTTCGCTCCAGGAGGATTCCATTCGACAGCCGCGCACCCTCATCATCTCCATCGGCTTTCACGAACCGGAAACCCAAAAGAAAGGAATAGAAGAAGAGCTAGCTTCCTCTCAACCGTCCGCTCCCTGGATTCTTTTCCTCCTTGTTGCTCATAGCAGGAGACATTCATCGTCACCGAAATTCTGTCTGAGTTGTCGCTGACTCCATCCGCTTTACCGCCTGGATCCCTTGGATTCTCAATCACCGTATAGCCGCGGCACAAACAACCATCGCAGAGCTTAAGACTTAAACAAACAAAATGGAGAGGAAGTTCATCAGATGCCGAGTAAAGATTTGAGGTATATTTTGTCTGTCCGACTCTAGAAATTTCATTATTCTGTTTCTGAATACAAGTGCTGGTTTGCACGCGGGGATAATGACATACGTTGAACCTTGATAAACGTTTGATGGATTTTCGCTTATTCCAGTGATTCTTATGTTAATATGGATGCTTGGTGGGTTCTTGGATTTAATTGTTAATTTCCCCTGTTTTTGTTAAAAAATCTGTGTTCATTTTATGTTTTCTGTGTTCTGTTGATGTTCCTTGTTGCTTAATTTTTCATTTGTTCTGCAGAGTTCTATTTGTTATTCCCACAATCAATCGAGGTTTTAGACATATTGATGATGGGTTATACAAGAGGGATAGTCCTCTCCTTTTCTCAAATCCCTTCTCAAATCCCTTCCCACCCAACTGACTCAAGGTTCAAATTTCCAACCTAAAATGTAATTTCAAGCTCTTAACCAGTTAAGCCATCCCTTGGGGAAGCATATTTAAGAATCTTGTGTACCCTATGATTTAGTTCTCTATGTCTGAGTTCTAATTCAAGGTTGTTTCAATGCCCAATGTTTCTTTATAAATTTTCCTTTGTTCTCTTTGTTTTTCATTTGTTCCGCAGAATTTCTTGCTTTATTGTTCACACTGTTCACAGTTAGGCAAAGGTATATCATTTCTCTTTTTGGTTTCTACAGGGTCATCAGAAAAGTATAGCCAGATTATTTCTTCTTTAGTTTCTTTCATGGATTCCGTTGAAGATTTTTTTGAATCTTCCCTAAGTTTAGAGGAGACCCAAAAGAAAAAAGGCTATGAAGAAGGTTACAATCACGGCCTAGTGGCTGGCAAAGAAGAAGGTCGGCAAGTGGGACTCAAACATGGCTTCGAAGTCGGCGAGGAGCTTGGTTTCTACAGGGGCTGTGTTGATGTGTGGAAGTCTGCCATCTGTGTGGACCCGACCCGGTTCTCCACCCGGGTCCAGAAGGGTATAGGGCAGATGGAGGAGTTGATCGAGAAATACCCTGTTATGGATCCGGAGAATGAGACTGTACAGGAGATTATGGAGGCTTTGAGGCTTAAGTTTAGGGTTATACGTGCTGCTTTGAGTGTGAAATTGGAGTATGATGGTTATCCAAAACCCAAGGTTATTGAGTTTTGATTTTGGGATTCTGACTACTATTTTTAACTAATTTTCAGCATGCTTGGATTACCTATATAAAGTCTTCACTTTTATTTGCAAAGCAAACTGTGTTCAGATGGTTTTTGGCTTAGTTTTTGTGCCAGAGAAAAAAATTATTAACTGTCTCTTATTTGAGCAGAATAACATGTGATTAAAGTTTGTTATTGTCTGATTTTGTTGTTTATTTCTTATGATAATTAGCAAGTGAATGCTTGTGAATTGTTTGATTATCAGATTCGGAACAGATTTTTATATAATGCAGTTGAAAGCCAGATAAACAGCAACTGTTTTTTTATGTTCATATGAGATATTGTTTTTGATGTCCCTCTACTAGCTGGGTTCTGTCTTTGTTCGTCTCTCGCTGTTTTTTGCTGATTCCAGGTCTGATTTTGCCTTTTTGGGCTTGTTTAATCTTTCTGGGGCTGTGTGGTTTGACGTGTAGTGTGATATTTTTGGGGCCAGTTCTTTCCTGTGTTGCTCGGTTCGGTCATTGTAAGCACTATATTGTAATATGTTAATGCTCTTTAACAATGATAACTTCGAGACTGGATAAATTTTAGTTGCAAAGAAATAAAATGAACGATACAACTGGTCAAACGAACATGTCACTCTAATTTGAAAAGGGTGTTCCCATGTAGCTAAATTGTTTACGGTACAACAAATACTGATTACATGGCCATGAGTGGTTTAGGAGGGGACAAATGATCTAACCTCAGGTGCAAAACTAGGAAAAAGAATGTTCAATTTGTGCATGAGGATGTCCGTCCGTGATGGGATCTCATTTAAAAGTAACTGTTGAACAATTGGTTTCTTAAACCACTCCATAACAGAATCTCCAGTAGCCCTCAAAACGATCTTGCTAACTTCAAATGGGGATTCGACTGAGTTCAACCTCTGGGCAACCACAATCTTCAGTGTCGGTCCTGTAACCAATTTGATCCGCCTAGGGATAACACCATAATTCAACGTACGCTTTCTGAACCTATGGAGGGTGTGCACAACAGCTATTAGAGCAGCTCCTACTGATAAGTTTAACATCTAGGGACCAGGCAATCTGTTGATTGAAAACTATTGCCTCTGCGAAAAGCTTGTTCTCATAGGCAACTTTCCAAACAGGGCGAGCCCTGTTTATCTGCCCCATAAGGACAAGGTAGTTGAGGAGAACATTGACAAAGTACCTAGCAGCACCTTCTTTCAACTCATAATCGATACCTTGGGGAAAATTCTCTCACAAAAGATAAGACTGGTTGTTTCCTCTCTTCTGGACCAGTGAAGAGTCCACACATAAAGGCATGAGCTTTGTGCCTTGTAGCACTAAGAATTGACATCAAATGCCTCTCATTTTGCTCGGCCTGGCATTATACCAAATGATCAAGAATCGATGTGTAGAGAATGAGAACCACTTTGGCAGCAGAGTTCACATAGGTCTCCAGGGGAGGCTTTCATGACTCCCATTCTTCATACAGGACTCAAAACACCTATCTGATGATAAAATTATTTGTTCTAATTCCTGATGAACCCATGAACCTCAACCATTTGAGGGCAAGATCAACAGAACCATCTTTAATATAGACCATCAGAACATCACTAGCTCTCACATCAACTGAAAATCCCATGGACTTCATTTCAAGTAGTACTTTTGCAGCCACATCCACAAGGTTCTTATTAGCCAAGAGTGTTAGAGGGGAAGTATAATTGCTCAAGCCAGGCCTCAGGCCTGCATTGGTAATTGAGTTGTACAATTTCACGGCAGAATCTACTTGTCCAGAAGCGGCATGCATTTCCAAGAGAGATGAGTAGGTAGATGGAGTAGGTAGAAATCCAGCCTTCTCCATATCTTTAAAAGCAGACATTGCAATTCCAAGCTTCCCTGATTTTGCATGAGACTCAATAATCAGTGTATATAAGCCAAAGTTTGGTCTATAACCTGCCTTTTTCATGTTATCCCAAAGTCTAAGTGTAGAGTCTAGCTTCCCAGCTTTGGCAAAGGACTCAATCAAAGAAACATACATAATGGCAGATGATGACCTAAGGCCACAGCCCTGGGCCTCCTTGTAAACCTTCATAGATGCATCAAGCCTCCCGGCTTTCCCCATTGAATCAATGAGTGATGCCAAGACACTCAAGCTTGGCCGCAATTTCCATTCTTTCATCTCTTGAAAAGGCTTAGATGCAGCATCAAGACGACTAGATTTTGCCAAGTTTGGTATCATCAACTCATAGGTGGATTCATCCAGCAAACATCCTGCCACCTCCATGCTCTCATATATCTCAAACGCCTTAAAAGGCAAGCCTTTATTCAAAAACAGGGTCATAAGAGCATTAAATGTTTGAGTATCAACTTTGTAACCAGATTCCTGAGCCTTCTTGAAACAACAAAATGACACCTCCAGTTTGTCAGCTTTATCTGTATCATCCGATTATATGCACTAAATGAGGAAACCCCATCATTGCTCGAATCTTGAACCATCTCATCAAATAGTAATTGAATTTCATTGAAATCTCTATCTCTATTTAACCAATCAAACAACATCATGTAACAATCATCACTTGGTGAATAGCAGGATTTTCTCTTAGCCCACCTAAACAAACTCAACGACGCATCGCTCTCATTAATAATCTTCAAGGCTTGAGTTATACGAGTCATGTTTGGATGAAATTGTAGCTTGTCCAGTTGGGTCTCTAATTCTAGTCCCCATTTCCACCTCTTCACAACCTCAACAATCTTTGCAACAGCTGAAGCATTCAAGAATGGCTTCTTTAGCTCACCCACCATTACATGGTCATCAACCCCTGGCTCCACCGACCTTAAACCTTTACCAGAGTATAGAACACTCCCTGATTCATCCAAATACTCAATCTCATCAGTCCACTGGCCAAACCCATCATCACACTTCTTCCCTAAGCAGTAGTATCTGAAAAAGCTAATGTTTCTTTCATAACTGGGGTTTTTGGATAGGAAAAAACATTGGGGAAACTGAACTGACACCAATTATAGAGCTAAAGTAACTAAATTTAGCGTAGCAATTGGCAGAATTTGTGAAAGAGATGGGATTTTGGGAACTAAATGTGTGAAAAGGAGACCTGGAGCTAGGGTTTTGGTTGAGTCTGAAATATAGAATTCTAGGATTAAATTTACGACTACCACTGCGATGAGTCATTGAATTAAGTATAAGTGTAATCGGGCTGAGCTGGAGAATGCCTACCAAACTGATGCAGATTTACTAAATCTTTCACAGCAAAAGCTTAAACCCTACTCCTATTTGATAAATTTGGGAGGAGAAAAAAATTGAATGGGAGCGGTGATAGCATTTTTGAGCTCCAACCTGTAACTTGACATAAATACAGAAGAGTTGCATTCCTCTGTTGTGGCCAATGGTAGTCACTGTTGCCCAAAAGGATAGCCTGTTGAATGCACTCTTGATATTAGGTTCAATACTTCTCAACACAGATACTAACTTGCTAGCTTAATCATTTTTTCTGTTAAAAAAAAAAAACATAAATACAGAAGAGTTAACATACCCAACAAATGGTTGGGACGGGAGTATTTATTACTCCATCAATTCTAAAATAACTTTAATTTAGAGTAGATTTTTTTAATAAAATAATTAATTAAAGTAAATCAATAATAATAAAGTTAAAGTATAAAAAATTAATTATTTAATTTTAAAGATAAAAAAATAACAATTAATTTGATACTAATTTAACATAAAAAAATAATATTTTTTTTGAGACAAATAGAGTACTATTATTAAAAAATTTTCAACATATGACCTTCATGTAAAGAAAAGAGTGCAGTTATTATATTTTTATATCATTAATTTACATTAAAATAAAAATTAATTTTAATTTTATTAACCATCTAATTAAATTATTTCATGTAATGTTGGTGTTAAAGTAAAATTTATTTTCATAGGTTTCCATACAAATTAATAGTTAAAAATATGTAATAAATGCATTATTAACTTATAATCTTATGACATATATTAAAAAAAACTCTTATTATTATTATTATTATTATTATTAATAAAAAAATATAGGCCATTTATTTGTTACATCTGGTGGTGTCAGTGGTTTGGATGAATCAATTTTTAACTAATTTTCTATCCAATTCAATTTAATCAAATTTAAGAAATGTCAAATCAGTCTAATTTAGTTAATATGCTACAACCAAACCAATCCAACTATTATTGGATCGGATTGGATCGAATTGATTTAATTATTTTTTTTCTCAAAGAAAAAAAATACATTTTTTGGAATTTGATTATGCCAATATTCCTTTCTTGAATTTTAATTACACAAAAACAAGAACAAAACCAAATAAATTTATAATATATTGAAGTATTATATAACACAATTTTAGAGTTATGATGAATAAATATTGAAAATATAAGAATTGGAGAAAAAATTTTCCTTTTTGTAATTAATTTTCTCAATATCAATTTGGATTGGGTGATCATAAAATAAAACTACAAACTAAATCAATTTAATCAGTTTTTACTTTTTTATCTACATTAATTAAATTATGTAACAATTTTAATTAATTTTTAATTAAATTAGTTTAGATTAGGTCGAATATGAACACCTGAGTTACAAAGAGTGGAAAATGGCAAAGGGTAAATTCCACATGAGACCAGTGCCACTGGCTTGAAGCGTGAATTTGCCATATCATTCGTTTATTAGTAGTATTTATTATCATAGTAGGCAAAGAAAAAACAAAGTTTTGTTGGTGATTCTCTATTTTTTTTTTTGAAGGATTTATTTAAAATTTATTTTTTAATTAAAATTTTATAAATTAACTATTAAATTTAATATTTTATTTATATATCATGTATATTAATTTTTATATTCTTTTAGTGGACTTAATTACTTTATTGATAGTGTAAAATTTAATATTATTAAATATATATAAATAAATATAACTTTTTAATTAAAAAATTATAAGTGTTAAATTAATATAAAAATTGACATATAAGATTTAGATAAATAAAACTTTTAATTTAATGATTATTGTTTAAAAATACTAATTAAAAATTAAGGTTTTAAATATATCCTTAAAAAAATTGGAGAGAATGACTAACTCTATACTAGGTTATAAGTAAATGCAGAGATATTTAAACTAAATTTACTTAAGAATTCAGAGATTAATCTTATTGTTTGAAAGGTCAAAACTCCCAAAACTGTACTGGATTGCTATGAGATCTTCCGTATAAGTGTATAACAATAATCTAGAATTTTTTATTTCAATTGTTCATAAATTTTTTTTATTTCAATTTAAAATTTGATAAAAGCAAAAAAAATTAAAACATCTTTATATTAAAAATAGTTATAATATAATTACAAATTCTTAATATCATGCATTAATGTAAATTTATAATTATAAGGTATTAAATAAATGAATGTGTATGATATTATAAATAAGTTTTTAAATAAAAGAGCAATTTATCTAGAAAACAAAAAAGTATTTTACATTTTAAATTATTTTAAACTATAAAATATTAGCCATTTAAAAAAAGATGTGTACCTTAACATTGAGGACCTTTTCTCGTTAGATAGTTTTTAGTTTATAACCTAAAATAATTCAAATTTTAAAAGAAAGTATCCTATATAAAAACATATTAGTATTGCAAGATCATATTGCTATGTAACAACTATAAGTGCTTTTGGGATTGCGTAGAAGTGCTCTCTTTATAATATAGTACTTTTATATGTGTGCATTTAGTCTTTTTATTTTTTTTAGATTACCTTTTTCTAAAATTACACGATGTTATAATAAATTTATAACAATTATATATATAATTAAATGTTTCATATTAAAGTTTTTTTTTTAATTATGTGACATCACAATTTATTATATAATTATAAAATTACTCATTAATACTTTATTTAATTAAACTAACATTGTGTTTAGTTTATTTCTAAAAATTTTAAAACTTATTCTCTAATCATTTGAATCTTCTTTATTTTAGCATTAAATATTTTAATCTTGTGTAAAATTATTAAATAATTTTTAGTAATTATTTACTATACTATATTTTTTAGTTTTAATTTATAATTATTAAAAATGGCAATATATTATTCATGATACTTTTAAAAAATAAATAATTAAATAATAAAACAATTTTCAATTACAATTATAGTACAAGTGTACAACACAATCTAAAACAATTAAATTACAATCACACAATAATTCCAAACGTGCCATATATTGCTTTCAAAATAAATATGCTAAAACTCTCACTCACATCATTAAATAGATGGGAAATTACATGGGTCCGATTTGAGTCTCACGAATGTAATGTAATTGATTTAGGGAAGGAAATCGATCGACAAATACTTCTGACTACTATGGCCTGTAGGGAATGAAATTGAGAGGAAAATGATATAGGGATAAATTTTTGTATTTTTTTTT